ACACATGGATTATTCCATGGTCATGGGCATCTGTACTGATACACAGTGACTCTCTCAAGTTATTCCTTTTACTTGAACACAGGCATGTGCATATGCTCAAGTGGCATCGTGCCGACAGGCTGTCCTTCTGTGGAAATAAATGTTGTGGCCATTAAATGATTACAAATGAAATCGTAAGGTCTCTGTGATATTATTTTAATCACTGAAGATGTAACAAGGAGATGTGAAAAACACTTTAATTTCCTCTTTGCACATTCCATTAACTATGGTAGCATTGCGATTTCAGCCACGGCGTACAGCTGTTCATGAGGCGTTACGTGCCTACACACATACGAATATAATACAGAACGGTGTGTATAAAGTGCACAGTATCTTGCGTGTGTTTAAAAATTCGAAACTTTACAAACCAAGGGAAAATTGAGCATAATTATACTTTTCTCAATATTTCCGCCTGCAATACTTTTAAAAATTTGCAAAACCACACTCCTTTTAAATATAAGAAGTGTGGTTTTGCAAAATATGAATTGTGGAGGAAAACATTTTTTAAGGAAATGACGGACGTATGTATATATTTCAGAGCAGAGTACACACTATAGGTAAGGAATCCATTTTTGGCAAAAATACCATTTTAGGTTGAGAGAAAAAAACTTCATATATTTCAAATCTGGGTATTTTGGACTTTACACCAGTAACTTTTTATATCATTGAGTCAAGATTTTATATTTCTGTGAATATAATTTATATTTGAAAACATTTATAAACATTGACATATGTCAAAATATTAACATGAAATGACGGTCAATTAAACAGATGGAATTGGTGATTAAAATGAAAGTGGACAGTATTAGTAATTTTGAAATAATCTTCCAAAATTTCATATATAAAACCCGTAAATGTGATTTAAACCAGTAAGAAAAGTAATAAAGTCGGCAGGGCCGACTATATGATACCCTTCACCACTTTGGGTATATTCAACAGCTGCATTCTAACAGACGTCGCATTTTCGAAAGACCATTGACACGAAATGGGATGAACTAAAATATGTGATCTATATTTAGATGTGAATCGACTTAGATAAATTCATAAACATGTCATTCTGTAACCTATACTAAACTCTTCATTTGGATAGATAGAGAATGAGACAAACTTATGTAAATCAATTTAAAGAAAATCACAATCGGACACTCTTTGATTATTTGAAACCCAATAAACATGAAGCCGATCGAAAATATATATGGGCTATGTCTGCATTTCTACAAAAAGCAATTACGTCATTCTTTACTCAATTTTGTACGTTGGGCAAAATTTCGCGTCAAGATATATATAGCTTTCATATTTTGGGTCCTTGGTCCATTATTAACTTCAAATCGGAGGAAAATATATATAGGAACTATATCCAAATCTGAACCGATTTGAACGTAGTTGTTGCTTTTGCCGGCAACTCATAATCCAAAAGCTTTAAATTCGTCTGAATTTAGACTTTACAACAGATCCTTCGTCCTTGTGGGAATCTGTACAATAGAGTCTTTGGTGAACCATTTACTTAAAATCTGACAAAACTATATATGGGAGCTATATCCACATCTGAACCGATAGCAACGAAACTTGTCCCATGTTAGGTTATACTAATTTCAATATGTTTTGTGGCTATCGGCCATATTTTGGGTCCATGGTGCATCAGTTATTTAAAATCGGAGGAAATATATATAGGAGCTATATCGAAATCGAAACCGATTTTCACAAAACTTAGACTTAATTGATACGCTATGCCAAATTTCGTGCAATCTGAAAGATATATAGAGACTTTGGTACACCATTTACATTAAATCGGACGAATATATATGGGAGCTATATCTAATTCTGGACCGATTTTTCCCAATTTCAATAGAGTTCGTCCTTGGGCCAAATAAATTTAATTCGGATCATAAATGGGACCGGTACTTGGTTTACAATTTAACATGGACATACAGACGGTCGGTCAGACATGCATAAATCAACTTAGAAATTGATTCTATGCATATTCTCAAAAGGAACCATGTGTCTATCTCGTTTCCATTTGCCTGTTACAAACATGTGCAAAAAGACATAATACCTTGTACCATAGTGTGGTGAAGGGTATGAAAAGCGTTAAGGTCGACCCTGCTGAACTTTGGATACCCCCCATCATAGGTTACTGCTAGTTACTTAAAATTAAAGTTCCAACCTCACGTGGAACTATACTATAGCCAATGACCTTGGGAAGTGTGGTTAAAACTTCTGATGTAATGAAAAATTGATGGGATTTTATATAGGACATATAACTAAATCTGAATCTGCGCAAACAATGTCATTCAAAATTATATTGTAAACTACTGACGACCAGAAATAATAAATTTCTGTCAAAAATATTAATATTAAATTCCTAAAATTGTATAATATTGTTGTGACTTATGATGTAAGGAATAATGGGGGGACATATGGAACATAGCAAAAAGTGGACAATATTGATGCATCGTGTAGGAATTACCATACATTTGTAGTTATCATTATACGAGGGGCTATGCCTAATTAAGCTCAATTTCTTTCACGCTAAAGATTGAAAATACCGACCGTAGTCCTTTCTAGTTTTTTATCTCTATATCTTCCGAATATGGCTAAATCGTAGGGTAAAAACTGACAATTTCGAGTACAGGCTACCCTCCTACTATAATGGAATATGACTATATCAAAACGACTTACCAAATATGACTAGAAAATACCAAATTAAAAAACCTTCAAAACACCGGAAATTTTGGGCTACCGTTACAAGGGGGATACCGGAGTTATATTTATAATTTTAAGTGGAGAGATTTTGTACACAATAAGAACCGCAAATTCGAAATTACAGGGAATTCTGTTGAAAACCTCGCCCAAACCTCGCAAAATACCGAGTTATGCAGTTATATGGGCGCTACCCGGAAAAAGTGGACCTATATTAATACTTTTTAGTAGAGAGATTTGATACGCAATAAGAACGCAAAGTACCAAATTACAGTTAATTCGGTTGAAAACGCGCTCAAAACTCCCAATGTACTGAAAATTTGTGATTACCGTTATATGAGTGCTACCAGAAAAAGTGGACCCATATTTAGTGGAAAAATTGTTATCCAATAAGATCCCAATGTACCAAATTTCAGCGAATTCGGTTGAATATCGCTCTCAAGAATCCCAAAATACCGAAAATTGGGGGTATTGTATGGGTGCTATGCTTATCTTCGAACTTCACCTGCAGGCAAAATACAATTCTGTGCAAAGTTTTGGCAATTTATCTCAATTCGTGAGTGGAGTGATTAAAACAGACGGACATGTTTAAATCGTCAAACAATTTTACCATGATCAAGAATATATATAAATATATATATTTATATATATATATATATATATACGTGAGTGAAATCGGTCCATTCTTTTTTTACCGACAATTTGAAGTTTGGATGTTGACCTATGTAACCTTAAACAACAAGTTATTTAAATTTTAAATTGAAATCAAGTTGTTAAAAAAATGTGAGGATATAGCAAATCCGATTACAACATTTCACGATTTAGATGTAAGATATAAGATATATAACTGTCAAAAACTATGTATGGAATATATAGCAAACATATACAAATCTATAACGGCAATGTGAAAACTAATTAACAGTTTGTTTAAAAATGAAATATGTCTATTACTAAGGCAAAACAACGTTTGCCGGGTCAGCTAGTATATATATACTTTATAGGGTCGAAAATTATTATTTCGATGAGTTAAAATGGAAAACAAACTTAATATACCCAGAGTAGTAAAGTCGGACGGACCGAACATATGATACCCTACACAACTACTACAGAACTCTAACTTTCTGTGGATCTATATTCCGAATTTGATCAATATTTCGTGATATTTGCACCCTCTTGCCCGACTAGAGGTCATCATCTTCTCTTTCTTACCCTGGCATATTTTCTGAATCTTTTTCCGGGTTCAATATATACGCCGTAAGATGACAATTTTTTTCACTTTCTACAGAAAAATCGATTCGCTGAATAGTGAACGATCACTATGAAAACAACACCTGTAATTAGTTTCCCCTTCTCTTCCCCTTGTGCTGATGTGATGTTCGGATTATAAATGCGGCCTATAGAGCGACTTGAAAAAACACACATAAATAATTTTTTCTATCCATTTTGTGACGACTGGTCCATAAATGTAGGCTACACAAATTATAATGGACTGACAGACGGACAGACACAGATGTCTAGATCGACTCAGATAGTCAAGGTATGATGGTCGATATACTAAATGGTGGGTCTAGGACCAATGTTTTACGACGTAATAAACTCTTGGGGCCTCAAAAATAATATTTTGAGTTATTATTGGGTAGGAAATCTTACCAAAAATAATAAATTTTGGCCCACATTTTATTATAGCCTTCAAATTTCGACAATTTCTGAATTGTGCACACGTTTTAAACCAAATTGACTATAAGTTAATATTCATCTTTCGATCTTCATATCTGGATTAGCTAAAGCAATCCATTATTTCTTCCGTTATAAAAAGCAGAAGTACAAGAAGCAGTGATAGCCTTATTTTCAGGAAATTGTTAATGAAGTTCCGGATTTGACCAAAGACGACACGTCTGATAATAATGGGTTTTACCAACTTAATTAAATGACCCAAAAATGTAACGGTACTCCGCTATTTTTATCACGTAAAAAAGGTTAGGTGACCATCATTGTTTTGTGCTTTTTGTCCATGTCTTGAATAAAACATATTCCAATAAACATATTCCAATAAACATATTCCAATAAACATATTCCAATAAACATATTCCATCATAGACAATCAAAAGTTGCTGATAGATAGTAAATATAATGAGTAATTAAAGTTATTTTCCTGTTTCACTACACTATGTAAACATGTGCATGTCCTCTGTAAAATGATATCATTTCGTGTTATTTATACTGGGAGGCATTTTGCATTGTTCGTTTAATGCTTTACTTACTTTCCAATTCGTAATATCCTTCATCCGGCTTGCCATTGTTGATATGAATTTTGGCCATACGTCTGGCACATTGATCTTCATCTAGACGGACAATGGACTTTAAAAACTCCATCATTTCATCCATGGTTTCATGCCACATTGTTGCACAAACAATAAGTTGTGCAATTTTATCCGATTCCAAAATATCCGTCGCCTCATTTCCATTGTAGGATTTTTTACTGCCCGCCTGAATGACAGACATGAGGGAATTAAGACATTTTGTGTCAAAGGAATAAATTAAAGAACAGAATTATTAAAAGAAAGTGAAAATTTCAGAAATAAAACTATTTTTAAAATTTAATAATGAGTAAAATGTAAATGTCATTTGTAAAATGGGTTTACATTTTAAATATTTGATAGAAATTAAAGAATAAAATATTACAAATACAATACAATATTAGTCCTGATTTAGATTAGGCGAGTTTACTTGCGGCATTCTTATCGTTCTCTTTTCTATTTGTTTCAATTAGTTTTTTCACATTTAAATAAATATAAAATGTCAACAAAAACGAAATACACAAAACGAATTGCCAAAAAATTGCCGGTACGAGCAATTTTTTTTTCATTTGTATTCCCCTTGCCCCTCTCCCCTACAAACAAAGGCTTGCCGCAAGTAAACTGGTCTATCTAAATTGGGACTTATATGTTTAAATTAAATTTTTTGAATGCCAATTTTTGTCAGTTTTTTTTTCTTTCAAATAACACATAAAGACCAGTTGGTTGGCCAATCAAAAGATACAACTCTTTACATCGAACACGTTCTGCATACAAATAGACTTACCTTAATTGATAAGTACTCTTCGTTCCAATCCACAATACGTCTATTCATTGTTATACATTGTTCTACCAAAAAGCCACAATACCACGGACAAATGAACAGCTTCTCGGTAGGAAGGTTTTTGTCGTTTTTCGGACGCCAAACATGATGTGTTACCCAGAGCTGTGAGAGCCACCACAGTAGCCAAATCCAAAGGTGTTCTACAACAATTTTATTCATGATGTCCGAAATGTTGCCATAACCGCCATCCCCTGTTGACCCATCCGAAACAGCTTTTAATGCCAAGTACGATGGCAAGTAGCCGGTAAGGGAACAAACATTTGACTCCCGCAGCCATGTTAGTGAGGCAGTGGCAAACACAGCCAATGGTGTAGCTAAACTTAGGGGCAGAGCGAAACTGAATTCTTGGATTTTTATTTTACATGCAAATTTGGCAAATATATAACACAAGTACGATGACAGCACCTGTGCGAGTACCATCAAGATGGGGACATTCGTATCTGATTTGATGGTGAACGATTCACTAGCTTTTGATAAAATAACCGATGAATTCGTTAATAAATGTGTAGCATCCACATCGACCTGTAGATGAAATAAATGGAATCGTTTTGTTAAAATATTATATTTGTCAAATTTGCAGTTATTTGCTAGGTGCTACTCTTACTAATAGTAAGGAAATCAAAGATTAGGTTCGAAAATGAGGTATATAGGGTCTCATTTAGGCATCGTTCTATATAATGATACCTCCCGATTTTGGTATATATTACCAGAGGAAATCAATATTTGTCACACTTTAGGTATATCCTCATATAACTTCGTCCACCAAATGTCAATGCTTTGAGGATTTTAGACACATGTTCCATCCTACCATGCGTAATCAACATCGGTCCACGTTTTAGGATAAGTCCGCATTAAATATGTTTGTATTTCTTGTGCGTTAAGGTTTACAACACTTGTGTGGAAAACTTTTTGTATAGGTCCACTGTTGGTAGATTTCGTATATACCGCTCATTATTCGCTACAGTATAAGTCGTGACAGTATAATATAGTACCTGGTGGGTTGGGAAATTCATTGCAAAAAAATGTCAATACCCAATGGATGAATTTTTAGCAAATGTTGCCATCAGAAGTGACTGCAATTTGTTTTTTCTAGTCTTCAGTAGTTTCCAAGATATCATTGGTGTGTGTTTGCATAGGTTAATTTATAATACCTAGCACATATCGAAGGTTTTAGCTACACTTCCCAACTTCGTTAGCTTTAGTTTAGTTCTACGTGGTGTTGGAACCTTCATTACACGTGACTGTCAGTATACCTATTGTATAGTGTATCAAAAGTTCGGCCCTGCCGAACTAACAGGTTTTTTACATGTTCGTTTATGAAATTAACCCAACCCACTTTTAGCTGAAATTCGGTTGTAACATTACAAATACAACAATTTAATTAAACATTTCGACACATTTACCGCAATAACCCTTGTTCAACGGACTCAGCGTGTTTTATTTAATAAAATATTCTGGAGGCAAATGCAAGTGGCATGCCACCCACTGGCGTGTGCGGTTTTTAGTACGAGCTAAAAAGAACAGCAACACTTTGTATGTATGTATATATTCACAAAATTGAGTATTCAAAGAAATCAATTTTCATACATTTTCGCTTTACAGCATTAAATAAATACTTTACCCTTTTCACTGGTATATCGTGCGGATTCCACGCTTGGGTAAACATTGAAAAATATTGAGAGATTGGCAGGTCATGGACACTAAACGCAATTGCAGCGAATAGAATAATTTTCAGCGGTGACAAATACAAATACGTGTGATAGCGTGATTTGGTACGACGAACCATTTTAATCAAGTTGGCTGAAAGGAGTCGTAAAAAATAAAAATCGAATGAAAAATAAACAAAAATTTCGACAAATAGAAAGATTGATCTGACATGACTGTAGATTGAATGAAATGAGAAGAAAGTGGAATTAATTTGCAGACTGAAGTTTGGTTAGGCAAATGATGGGTCACCATACGTACCAATGCTAGAATAGGAATTGATGTAATTTTCCCACCAACGCATTGAAATCAGTATCAAGGGTATAGCTAATATTTGTACATGCATCGAATTGACGAGGGATGGCCAAACCACAAATGCCGTTGCCTGTGATATTACGGCTAAAATACTAATCGTGTAGATAACGATAGATTTCCAGTGTTTTCGGGTGCCAACCAGAATGTCTGAAAAAAGGTTTATTTTTATAAATTTTATTATCGTTATGTATTATTTTGAAACTAAGTCTCAATATTTATATTGGTAATTCAATATTATAACCGTATTTAATCGTAGAAAAAATTTTAAAAATGTACATTTTATTGAAACAAGTAAAAATTGTTTAAGAAGGTCGGGAAATGCAGTGGTTTCAATGCCATTGTAAATAATCTGCTAGTGAGTTGTTTATGTGGGAATATGATAAACCAAATTACACTATAATTGGAAAACTGGGAAGTTTTTTTATTTAACAGAAATCAGGAAAAAAGAAAATTACATGTATTTAAAATATTTTTCAATTATTTCAGTGGGAAAATTATTATAAGAACTGAAAATAACGCAAACCAAAATTGATATTTTTGCATACATGTATTTATGTCTGCCACCAAAACCCCGTCATGCGAAATTTCAGTTTCTTTGGTGGGAAAAGTAGTTTACAACGTGTAAATACCGAAAGTTGGGTGGTACCGTTATATGGAGCTATATCACAAGGTGGACCGGTATCAGAGGAAGATGTGAAACCCTCATTAAATTTTGCTTAACAAAATGCATCCAATATACTAGTGTTCTGCACTGTAGTTCACTAAGCGGATCGAACTTTATCGTTTCTTTTTTAAAAAGGAATTAGTTCCTTAATATAGTTCCTTTACATTTCATTTGCTCCAAATAGTTCCTTTACTCCATATAGTTCCGACTCTTACATAGTTCCTTTGAATCTCTCTCTCTCTCTCTCTCTTTCATCGTTCTTTTTGTTTATTTTCGCTCACATAGTTCCGTGTTGATTTGTTAACAAATGTAAAAATTTACATATCCATGTTTAGCATTTATTAACAAATCAACACGGAACTATGTGAGCGAAAAAAAAAACAAAAAGAACGATGAAAGAGAGGGGGAGAGATTCATGTTTTTACATATCTCCCATATAACGGCCCGACCTCATTATACCCCTCACCATAATGTGGAGTATGTACTACATTTGTCCGTTTGCAACACCTCGAAATATTCTCCGCGGCACCAAAACAATTATGTATACGTATATGTGTCTCCGGTAAATATCAGAATAAAATTCTATGTCGATCTACGCATGTCTGTCTGTCCGCCTGTTGAAATCCCGTTATGGGATTACATAGTATATCTTCATACCAAAAATTATTAATATTGATCCAAGTTTCAGGGTATCTCCCATATAATGGTACTCCCCAATATTCGGTATTTTGGGGATTTGGAATACGGTTTCCAACTGAATTGGCTGTAATTTGGTATTTTGAGTTATCATTGAATAACACATATCCATAAAAAAAAATTATCCAAGGTTCAGGGTAGCCCTCATATAACAATACTTCCCTAATATTCGGTATTCTGGTAATTTTTGACACGTTTTTCCATCGATTTGGCTGTAATTTAGTATTTTGGGTTCTCTTTGTATAGCACATCTTCGGACCTCATATAACGACACTCTCCAATATTCGGTTTTTGGGTACGTTTTTCCACCGAATTAGCTATTATTTGGCATTTTGGGTTCTATTGAATAACACATATCCGTACCAAAAATTATTAATATTGATCAAAGTTTCAGGGTATTCTGGCGATTTTGGACACGATTTTCCATCGAATTGGCTGTAATTTGGTATTTTGGGTTCTCTCTGTATAGCACATCTTCGGACCTCACATAACGGTACTCCCCAATACTCGGTATTTTGGGGATTTTGGACACGTTTTTCCACCGTATTGACTGTGATTTTGTATTTTTTATTCTCATTGGCTGTCAAATCTCACTACCAAAAAATGTCAATATTGATCCCCATTTTATTATAACCCGATATAAAGGTAATCCCATATTTAAATATTTTGAGAATTTCAATCATCTTTTCTCACTTATATTAAAGGTCCTATCATGACATGAGTTTTCTCCTAGGAGCCCCATTAATTTTAGAAATTTTTATTGTCATCCTCATGATGGAGGGTATAAAAAATTCGGCCGGGCAGAACTTAACATTGTTTTCACTTGTTATCTTTATTATGGGGCTGTTATGCACATTTTCTCACCAAAGTGCCTGTAGTTTTGGTATTTAGGGAATATCATTTTCGATATTTTAAAAATGTTAACCACATTTTCAACCGAATAAGCTGTAGTTTGGCATACAGGAATCCTGAAGTGAGAAAAATATCTTTGCAGAATATGTTCATATAGGCAGATGTTTAACGTAACCCCATATAAAGATCACGTCTCATTTCGGGAATTTTTAATGTTTTTGCCGTTTCATACATAGCACATATACAAAGGATCGCATACATTTCGGAATGATTCAGTTCCTATACCTATTTATAATGAAATGAATGTAAACCACATGGTTGAGGAAATAAAACGTTTGAAAACGTTTTTCTATGTACGTTTTTCTGTGTCGTTTCTTGCAACCATAGACATCAAAATCGTATATAAAATATTGGTGATATGATACATATAGCCTACAATGTTATTGAAAAAATTTAACTTACAATACCAAGAGTCTAATATTTTACCAAAAGTGTGCTTAATATTTTTTAATTTTATTCTGTTGTTGTAGAATTTTCAAATAATATTGCAAATAGCCTGTGTTTGAGGGGGCAGTTTGTATTAGAATATATATTCTTACATACATATTTTTAGTTTCGATACACAACTATTTTACATTTTAGCTACACTTATTGTTCCTTTAGAAAGATATTGCAGTAAATATTTACAATATTTTTAGTTACCGGAAATCATAACATTTGCAAATTTGTAAACTATTTTTTATTTGCATTGACAAAGTGTATTGGAAATGCTTACCATATGCATTGCATTTCCTGACAAATACATTTGTAATATTGTACAAAAAAAAATAAAAAAAGAAAACTTTTGATAACGAAAACTACCAATAGCATTATTTGGAATGAAAACAAAATATAATAAATCAGACCATATATTAGATAAATCAAATATATGATTCTCTTTGGGTATAGTTAAAAGTTTGATACGAAATCCACTTTGGATTTATTATTACCCCCTGTTTGAATGCACGTCCTCATGGTTTAATTCAATTTCTTTTCGTGACCACTCAAATCATTGTATACTCACTTAAAATGGCCGGCGTAAAACAAACACTGCTGCATAACATCAACGCTTTTACCGAATCCATATATGCCAAAACGTAAAATGTCAATATGGCCAATCCGATTACATGAAGTAATTCAAAGGAAACCACCTGCATGTTGGAGGAAAAGTGGATTAGTAATTAGAAGCATTCAAATGACGCGTTAATAAAACGGGAAACAATGAAAAATCTATGATTCTTAACGTAAACAGCATTGAGTGCATTGGAAATTGATGATTAGGAAAATAATTGAAATTACCAATCGACTACTTACTAGTAAGACTTCTGGCCACGTCGATGATTTGACATCCTTAAATATACAAATGCGCAGGGAACGAAAAAATGTGAACATTTCGGGAGCGGCGAAAGAAAATACCAAACCCCATATCCACACAATGTGTTCTGCGTTGGGTAATCTGACAATATAATTATCATTTCGAGCTGCAAGTGTAAGATTATAAGTTAGTTTTACCAGAATCAAATCGTTTCATATTAAAATTACAAGTTTTTAAAATGTTGACTCTTTGTGAAGATGGTAAAAAAGTATCAGGTTCAAAATCTGAACCGATTTTAACAAAACCTCATAAATATCAATCAGGACCTTCAGTAGGCTGTGCAAAACTTTGCCCCAATCGGAAAAATATTGTGAGTTTGGTGTACAACTTACATAAAATCGGATAAACTATATATGGAAGAAAAATATCTAAAACTGAACAGAACCGAACCAAAACTCAAAGTGGACCTAATTTAGTACACTGTGCAAAATTTTGTCTCAATCAGACAAAAATTACGAGTTTGGTGCACAATTTACCTAATGTAGGACAAAACTATATAGGGGAGCTACATCTAAATCTGAACCGATTTCCACAAAACTTCCCATACATCAATCACGACCTAATTCAGTACACTTTGCAAAATTTTGTTTCAATCGGACAAAAATTAAGAGTTTGGTGCACAATTTACCTAAAATCGGACGAAACTATATATGGGAGCTATATCTAAATCTGAACCGATTTTCACAAAACTTCGCACAAATCAATGGACCTGTGCAAAATTTTGTTTCAATCGGACAAATTTTGCGAGTTTGGTGCACAATTTACCTAAAATCGGGCAAAACTATGTATGGGAGTTATATTTAAAGCTGAACCGATTTCCACAAAACTTCGCATACATCAATCAGGACCTACTTCAGTACGCTGGGCAAATTTTTTTTAATCGGAAAAATATTGAAAGTTTGGTGCACCATTTACCTAGAATCGGACGAAACTTTTTGTGGGAGCTATATCTAAATCTGAACTGATTTTCTTCAATTTCAATAGGGTCGTCCTTGGGCCAATTAAGTGACCTGTGCCAAATTTCATCCAAATCGGATAATAAATACGACCTGTACTTGGTAACAAAAATACATGGACGGACAGACGAAAATTCATAAATCGACTCAGAAAGTGATTCTATGCATATTCTCAAAAGGAACCATCGGTCTATCTCGATTATTTTTGCCTGCTACAAACATATGCACAAAGACATAATACCCTGTACCACAGTGTGGTGAATGGTATAAAAACAATTAATATTGAAAAGTAAGTAATTCGCGTATTCGTTGAAATCAGTTGTTGCGCATGCGGTTTTCGTATAAAGCGAATTAACCTCTTCCAATAATTATGCATTTTCGATGTTTCATTTAGCGGCCAAAGGGTGCCGCTTGATGCACTTTACTATGCAAAAAACCGTAATTTAAAGATTTTTATGCGCATCAGATTTCAGTAATCCCCAATGAAAATACACAAAAGTACATCTATTTTAAAAGAATTGGTTAAGAACCGCGGATGTGCCACCACAATCAATTTTGTACAAACTAGGCATATTATTCGCGTATCGATGTATTTTTAAAACAGATTCGCGAATATGATAATACAAGCAGGAATGTAGGTAAAATCAATTCGAAGAAAAACGCGATTATATACGCGAATTAGTCAAAATAAGTTTTTGCAGTTTTTCCTACATTCAAGGTACCTATATCCGCCGTTTTATTGGGCGGAATTGAACATGTCTGGGCTCATTAGATTCGGCACGTAAAAAAACTAAATTCCCGCGGGGTTCAACGGCATACGCACCAAATTTTCGTCTTTGGAACCCAATAGCACAGAAGCTACGGTGACCACATTCATAAGATATGCACTAAACGAAACAAAAATCACGTGTTCTACAATCCTATAATCAGTTTAGCTCATTATCTGATTACGCGTCCTTATTATAAGAAAAATTCAAAAAACACCAAAAATCCGGCTTCAAAATGACAGCATCACTTTTGGATGGATGCAGTGATTATATCGAAAAATCATACATTAGAACCATATTGTGCATCTGCAACTTAGTCACTGATCACATGTGCGTGCGTTGTGTAGTTTAGCCACAAATCAGGAAGGAACACAAAAAACAAATTCGTTGGCTTCAACATATTTTCACCCATTTTTATTTTATATATGGAGGGTATATTAATTATGTCATTCCGTTTGTAACTCATCGAAATATTAATTTCCGACCCTATAAAGGAATTGAGAAAGGGTGCTGAAATTTTACATAGGGTTGTCTTCTTTCTGCAGGCAGGTCCAGTTCGAAAATGGGATATATCGGTTCACGATTAGGTATAGCTCCCATATAATGGTACCCGCAAAATTTCGGTATTTTGGGGTTCTTGAACGCGTTTTTCAACCGAATTCGCTGAAATTTGGTACATTGGGTTCTTATTGGGTAATAAATGTCTCCACATAAAATTATAAGTATAGGTCCACTTCTTCTGGTAGCCCCCATATAACAATACCTCCTAATTTTCAGTATTCTGGGGGGTTTGGTCGTATTTTTTCACCGAATCGGCTGTAATTTAGTACTTTGAGTTCCTAATAGGTACCAAAACTCTCCACAAAAAATTATGAATATAGGTCCATTTTTTCGGGTCCCAATGTTCGGTATTTTGGGGTCCTTGAGCGCGTTTTTCAACCGAATTCGCAGCAATTTGGTATTTTGTAGTCGTATATGGTAACAAATCTCACTAACAAAAAATTTTAATGTTTGCCCCCTTTTTGGGGTCGTTCTCATATAACCCCCTTTTTATACCCTTCACCACACTGTGGTACAGGGTATTATGTCTTTGTGCATATGTTTGTAACAGCAAAAGGAATCGAGATAGACACATGGTTTCTTTTGAGAATATGCATAGAATCACTTTCTAAGTCGATTTACGCATGTCCGTCTGTCCGTCCGTCCGTCTTTCCATATTATATTGTAAACAAAGTACAGGTCGCATTTATTATTCGAATTGGATGAAATTGGCACAGCTCATTCATGTGGCCCAAAGAACCCTATTGAAATTGGGAAAAATCGGTTCAGATTTAGATATAGCTCCCATATATATTTTCGTCCGATTTAAGGTAATTGGTGCACCAAACTTCTTAAATATCGTTTGATTTGCACGAAATTTGGCATAACGTACTGAATTGATCCTAGAGTGATGTCTGCCAAGTTTCGGGAAAATCGGTCCTGATTTAAATATCGCTCCTATATATAGTTTCGTCTCATTTTAGGTAAATAGTGCACTAAAGACCCTATATATTTGTCGATTTGCACGAAATATGGTACAACGTACTGACTTGTGCCTAGAATGATGTCTGCCAAGTTTCGTGAAAATCGGTCCAGATTTAGATATAGCTCCCATATATAGTTTCGTCCGATTTAAGGTAAATGGTGCACCAAAGTCCCTATATATCTTTCAATTTGCAGGAAATTTGACATGACGTACTGAATTGAGCCTAGAGTGATGTTTGCCAAGTTTAGAGAAAATCGGTCCAGATTTAGATGTAGCTCCAATATAGAGTTTCATCCGATTTCATGTAAATGGTGCACCAAAGTCCCTATATCCTTCGATTTGCACGAAATTTGGCATAACGTACTGAATTGAGCTTAGAGTGATGTCTGTCAAGTTTCGAGAAAATCGGTCCAGATTTAGATATAGCTCCCTTATATTATAGATTGACTTTAAATAATTGACGCACCAAGGCTGATAGGAACAAAACGTACTGAAATTAGTATAACCTAACCTGTGAGAAGTTTCGTTGAAATCGGTTAATATTTGGATATAACTTCCATATATATTTTCGCCCGATTTTAAGTAAATTGGACGTCAAACTCTTCATGTTAGTCAGATTGACATCAAATTTTGCACATCGTATAAAATTGAGCATAGAATTACATAGTTGCGTTTTCTAGAAGTACAGGCATAGCCCAACGGATGACCTATTGATATTTGTTTGAAGTCGATTGATCTAAGTCGATTCACATTTAGATAAATATCACATATTTTATTTCATTCATTTTCATGTTAATAGTCCTGTGAAGGGTATCATATAGTCGGCCTCGTTCGGCTTTACTACTTTCCTTACTTGTTTATATTAAAATATTTATGATTTTTTCCGTGTTTGGGTTTGGTGCTAAGGCTCTGTTGTAATCATTTCATCTTCGGAAGATACGAAAAAAATAGAACATAACGTTCTATAATTTACCTAAATTAATTCATATATATGAACTGTAACCCGCCATTAGGCCTAGCCCCTGTGTGGGAGGTACCAGAAGGAGTGGACCGATATTCCCCATGTTCGAACTTGAACTAATTTTGTAAGAAATAATAAGATGGGAAAAGTTTGGATGAAATCAAAATTTTTTGGAACAAATTTGATCCAAAGAAATATGGGGTCTAGGACCAATATTTAGAACCATAATCGGTTTGTAGAAATGTCGGTATAGGTACACTTTTTGGTATGTTCCCTATATTTTTATTTCAAGTACCTGTCAATAGATCTATGGTGGAGGGTATCAAAAGTTCGGCCCGGCCCAACTTAACGCTTATTCACTTGTTTACATTACCACCATCACAGCTTCCACCCAATTTATTATCTCGCTGGCTTAACTTGTATAGGCGGCAAGTCCATATTTCACAATTTTTCAGGAGAAACAAAAAACAATCAAACTTTCTTTTGAATAAAGATTTTTTATATCTGTAAATGCAATTTGTTTTTGTATTGTATGTGTAATTTAATTGCGTAAAGCAAAATGAAAAAATAAGTATTTGCGGAGATACACGCCTTTTTTGGGACTTAGAGATTTTTCTGTCGCTAAGTTTGCATGTTTTAATGGACTTAGGTCTTTTTCTTACAACTTATCTATCATTATATTTTCTAATTACTGCAATAATTTTGATTTTTTACACGTTAATATTATCTAAAAGAGTAAGGATTGTTTTGAAATAATAAGTCATTCAAAAATGTGAAAAAAAAACAAGAAAAAACGTCGCTATTTAGGCAGGTCGAATATTGAGGATAACGTTATATGGGCGGTACCCTAAAAAGTGGACCAATATTGATAAGTTTTTGGTGGAAGGTGAGCTACCC